GACACTAMAAAAAAAWTCAATGAAATTTGTGTCTTTGAACATCATTTTATTTATATTACTACTATAACAAATATTTTACAATTCTCAGAGATTCATACTGTACTATTTTACAAGGTTAGAACGTTTAGAGTTGCAAATCRATCCAAATTCCATATTATTGAGCATGTGTTARCAATTTTGGTTCAATTTTCTTAATTAATACCAACCTATTAAAATAATTAAAATAAAATATTAAATTCATCCCGTGCAACGCACGGGCCTTAAACTAGTATAAAAATAAACTGTTAGTCCAATGATTACGAGCCTCGTTAATTATGTATTTTGATCATTAACAAGCTAAATTATCCTCACGTTCTCAAACACGGCATCCGCCAAATAAATCTGCATAGTCCTGAGCATGTACATGTTGTAATTAATAGACTAGTGTGTTTTAAATATTCAAGCTTATTTAGTGGTCAAAATATTCTAAATTAATTAGGTTTTTGATTTAAATCACATGAGTTTGTAATACACATGATTACTCAAAAGAAATTTCTTAATAGGAACAGGCATCACTAAGTTTATTTTGTGATATATTTTTCTTTCATTACTGATGATGACGTGCTAGTTTTATGGTTGCTAAAAGTGATATACAGACAAAGGTTAAAATTACAAATCAAACTAGCAACATATTTGAGATAATAATGTTGTGGAATCTAACTAGTGTTATTGGGATAAACTTTCTTTAACGCAAAATCTCAAACAATTATTCCTCATCTAATTCAGTCTAATCGGTACTAGAGTTGAAAAATCAAACCAAACAACAAAACTCATCAGCATTATGACTACTTATAATAGCAGCCTCAATAAAAGGCAGCTATATTCATTACACCCTCATTATCATTAAGTAGAGTAAAACAAGATACTGATTATAACATAGTTGAGATTTTGAAGAGGACCATAGTTAAGACTAATCATGTCTTCGTGAAACTTGGTAAGAACCATCGGGTTTCATCAGAGAATTGAATGGACGAACAATCAAACTTGTGCAATTGCTCCATCTTTTGTGTCTCGAGATTGAAAAGAAAGATTTCCGTCCTTGCATGCCTACCATTCACATAGATGGAATTTCTATTGAATCCCTCATCGTCATTAGCGAGCACAGTGATGCCTAGATCCAAAATCATTGCCTCGTCGCCTAAGGAATCACATTTCTTAAAGAAACCTGATGAACAAACCTTGTAGATGCAAAAAGACCATTCATCCGTACCAGATCTACACAGTTTTTCAACCTTGAGGACATCTCCTGTTACCGTGACTACGAGTTTTGTCGAAAAAACCTCCCATGAATTACCAATTACTGGAGGAAGAGTATCTAACTCAAGTCCTTTCACAACAACACTACACATAAAGGTTTCTTGCGGAATCTCTTGAGAAAAATCAAAGATTTTGAAACTACCGAGGCCGCTTAGGAAGTAAAGCTTGTGATCCTTGTAAACCAAGTCATAACAATCTGAAGTTTCCGGAATTTGATTCCACACGTTATCTCCTTTCTTGGAATAAACCACACACCATTCTCCAACTCCCCATAAAACAACATAATCTTTGGTTTTCTCGTCAAACCAAAACACAGGGGATTGCATAATATTAATACCTTTGATTTTTCTTCTTTTGTGAGCGTTTGAAACAATAAACCTATTAGCTAAGGTTCGCTTGATCTTTGTCGTTCCAAGTTGCGACTCCGCATGAGGTAGATTGATCCTTTCTTGTGTGAATAGATTCACCATGTAAAGATTAATCCGAGGATCTTGCATCAAGAGCCAATTTCCATAGGTTGCTACACAATCACTCTTTGCAAATTCGAAACCTAGATCTTGTGTTTTGTAGAGTTTGTTCTTCTCCTCCGGATTAAACAAGGTGCAAAAATTATTGTTATAGTCTTTGGGGAAGAGAATCAGCCAAGGCATATGGTTTTTGGGCACAGATTGTCTCGAAGCAAAATACCAACACGAACATACAGATTTAGCTTGTTGGAAATTACCAAAACTGAGCCGTTCGAACACTGAACTCAAGAGATCTAAAGGAAGCTCCGACCAGGAACTGGATGGATCTTGTCTGAGACACTCGTGAGAATTAGGTTTATGCTTCTTCTCCATGGTAAATTGAGAGTAGCGGGTAATCAAATCTCTCCAAGATTTTATAAGTCGAAACGATTCAAAGAACGTTTTACCTCTGCTACATATGGGCTTCTCTCGCTTTTAGTAGTTAGATTTCCTATTCGGCTATTCCTATTTAACTTATGTTCGTTTTTGTAAAAAAGTATTTAACTTTAACTTATGTTTTATTTTTTACCAGATGATTTTCCTGCGTACACGCGTGTAAATTATTTATGTAGTTTTGTTTTGGGAAAATTGCAAAAATGCTACTTTTTATGTGCACATTTTCAAAAATGCCACTTAGGGATGTTCATTTGCAAAAATGCCACTAATTATAGATTTTTAATTCCTATATCTTAAAA